GGCCAACATGCTCACTGGGGAATTAGGGGAGTTGAAGTCCCCACATCTTAAAGTTGCCAAGTTTGAAAAATGCTGTCTTATACTATCTATTCATACCATATTATTTTGGAATAAAGTTTTAACTGTCCATGAACAATTTGTGATTTAAATAAATGGGAGAATCAATATTGTGTACCTTCTCCCACCTAAAATAGGAAAGTTCAGGTTAAAGAAGAGCTAGGACAAGCAACCAGGTTAACCTCTATAAATGTATTTCTTCTTCTTCAGCTCCTGTCCAAACAATTCCTGGTTTCATCATTGCTTGTTTCACAATATAATTCTAGCATGTAGCCCATATAGCTACTAATTTAAGACTTTCCATTGAGAATGATTTCATTAGATTGGAAGAAGTAGAAGTAAATGAAGATTGATAATCCACTATACATGAAATGACTTCAACTTAACACAGAATGGAGGTACTCAGAAAAGTTTTGCTTCTGATATTGTTTTTTCCCCCACTCCAGTATTACTGCTTTTTTGTGGGGGAAAAAATCTATTTAATCTACATAGTTAATCTCTAGATTTGCTCTTCGTAAAAAGATATTAAGAGTAAGTAAACTTTTCTACATTCTCCTACAAAAGGAAAAACCAGCAAAAAGGAATAGCTTAGCTGAATTGAATAAGAAAACCAAAATGGTCTGAACGTTTAGGAAGAAAATGTTCAACTGTCAATAGAAAGACTAGAGATAAATAGAACTTATTTGTGACCATACAAAACAGAAGACTGTGTTCATGGAGAAAGGAATGGCTGGAAATATGTATTATTTAGGAAGTGGTCTGCAATGTTTTCATTCTTGAGCAAGTTAATGGATGGTTCAACAACAGTATTGAACAACATAGAAGAGGTCTATTTCTTTCTAATTGGTGCAGTGACCAAATTGAGTCCTCCTGATTTTTCCATAAAAGGTTGTTTCCACATTCATGTTCTGCAGCCAAAAGAGAATACACGTGGCCAATGAAAGGTCAACAATTCTACTATTCTTGTTCTTTTTATGTGATGTTGGAACTATTGAACCATTCATAGGGAGGAGTGTTTGGCTGAATGCTAGCAAGTCTGCTTTGCATGGATCTTTCCAGGTTTAATTCCTGGGATCACCAAAAGCCAAGAAATTAAGCAAGTGGTCAAGGGGATCACTTATCTCTAGAGCTGCCTCCAATGACATGAGATAGGATAAGGTGAAAAGAATAAACAGTCTGACCTGTATGCAGACGATGCCTATGATCCATTCGTATATTTAAAAAAAGAATGATGAACCCCCCCCC